AAGACTGCTAATTTAGATTTGCGTTATTTTCAATTTGAAAAAATTAATTTTGTCAGTTTTGTTTAAACTGCTGTATTTTTTAAAGTGTGCGACTTAAAGCGAAACGAAATTCAGTTCACATATCTATAAACGATTCTTAATAAGACTGCTGATTTGGATTTGCGTTATTTTTAATTTGAAAAAATTTATTTCTGACAGTTTTGTTTAAACTGCTGTATTTTTTAAAGTGTGCGACTTAAAGCGAAACGAAATTCAGTTCACATATCTATAAACGATTCTTAATAAGACTGCTGATTTGGATTTGCGTTATTTTTAATTTGGGGAAAACTTGAATTTCTGATTTTTCTACTAACGACGCGAGCGATCGACGTACTATCATTTTCGGTATTAAAAAATTTAATTCCTTATAGTCAGCTGTCATATTCACATTAATATATATTAAAAACACATTTTCAAGCGCGTTTAAAGTCTTTAAGCAAAGATAGATCGATTTCGATGTGCAAGCGAAAAATTTAAAAAGTGACAAGCTTTAAGATATGTGAAATATACATGCTCATTCGTTTAGAATCGTTTCTTGTGGTTCGGGACATTCGCCTTCGAATGTTACATCGATGTAGAAAGCAGAATTTAAAAATCTTGAAATCTGAAAAAATTCATTTTCGACAGTTTTGTTTAAACTGCTTTAATTTTTAAAGTGTGCGATTTAAAGCGAAACGAAATTCAGTTCATACATCTATAAACGATTCTTAATAAGACTGCTGATTTAGATTTGCGTTATTTTCAATTTGAAAAAATTTATTTTTGACAGTTTTGTTTAAACTGCTGTATTTTTTAAAGTGTGCGACTTAAAGCGAAACGAAATTCAGTTCACATATCTATAAACGATTCTTAATAAGACTGCTGATTTGGATTTGCGTCATTTTCAATTTGAAAAAATTCATTTTCGCAAGTTTTGTTTAAACTGCTGTATTTTATAAAGTGTGCGATTTAAAGCAAAACGAATTTCAGTTCACACATCTATAAACGATTCTTAATAAGACTGCTAATTTAGATTTGCGTTATTTTCAATTTGAAAAAATTTATTTTTGTCAGTTTTGTTTAAACTGCTGTATTTTTTAAAGTGTGCGACTTAAAGCGAAACGAAACTCAGTTCACATATCTATAAACGATTCTTAATAAGACTGCTGATTTGGATTTGCGTTATTTTTAATTTGAAAAAATTTATTTCTGACAGTTTTGTTTAAACTGCTGTATTTTTTAAAGTGTGCGACTTAAAGCGAAACGAAATTCAGTTCACATATCTATAAACGATTCTTAATAAGACTGCTGATTTGGATTTGCGTCATTTTTAATATGAAAAAATTCATTTTTGCCAGTTTTGTTTAAACTGCTGTATTTTTTAAAGTGTGCGATTTAAAGCTAAACGAATTCCAGTTCACATATCTATAAACGATTCTTAATAAGACTGCTGATTTAGATTTGCGTTATTTTCAATTTGAAAAAATTTATTTTTGACAGTTTTGTTTAAATGCTGTATTTTTAAAGTGTGCGACTTAAAGCGAAACGAAATTCAGTTCACATATCTATAAATGATTCTTAATAAGACTGCTGATTTGGATTTGCGTTATTTTCAATTTGAAAAAATTTATTTCTGACAGTTTTGTTTAAACTGCTGTATTTTTTAAAGCGTACAATTTAAAGCGAAACGAAATTCAGTTCACACATTTATAAACGATTCTTAATAAGACTGCTGATTTGGATTTGCGTTATTTTTAATTTGAAGAAAAACTTGAACTTTTGATTTTTCACTTACGACGCGAGCGATCGACGTACTATCATTTTCGTTATTAGAAAAATTAATTTCTCTTAGTCAGCTGTCAGATTCACATTAATATATATAAAAAACATATTTTCAAGTTCGTTCAAAGTCTTTAAGCGAAGATAGATCGATTTCGATGTGCAAGCGAAAAATTTAAGAAGTGACAAGCTTAAAGTTATGTCAAATATAGATGCTCAGTCGTGTTTAGAATCGTTTCTTGTGGTTCGGGACATTCGCCTGCGAATGTTACATCGATGTACAAAGCAGAATTAAAAAATCTTGAAATTTGAAAGAATTCGTCTATGACAGATTACTTTAAACTGCTGTATTTTTTCAAGTGTGCAACTACGAGCGAAACGAAATTCACTTCACACATCTGTAAACGATTTCTAATAAGACTGTTGATTTGGATTTGAGTTATTTTCAATTTTGGGAAAATTTTGAACTTTTGATTTTTCGACTGACGACGCGAGCGATCGACGTACTATCATTTTCGGTATTAAAAAAATTAATTTCTTATAGTCAGCTGTCAGATTCACATAAATATATATTAAAAACACATTTTCAAGTGCGTTCAGATTCTTTAAGCGAAGATAGATCGATTTCGATGTTGAAGCGAAATATTTAAAAAGTGACAGGCTTCAAGATATGTCAAATATAGATGCTCAGTCGTGTTTAGAATCGTTTCTTGTGGTTCGGGACATTCGCCTGCGAATGTCACATCGATGTACAAAGCAGAATTAAAAAATCTTGAAATTTGAAAAAGTTCGTCTATTACAGATTTCTTTAAACTGCTGTATTTTTTAAAGTGTGCTACTACAAGCGGAACGAAATTCACTTCACACATCTATAAACGATTCTCAATAAGACTGCTGATTTGGATTTGCATTATTTCAAAGTTTGGTTATAATTATGAATTTTGATTTTTACATTTAGGACGCAGGCGATCGAAATGCTGTCGTTTTTTGTATTAAAAAATTAATTTATATTCATGTGCCACATTTATGTTAATATATTAAAGAGACGACATTTCTAAGTGCGAATAAAAATCTTTAAGCAAAATTTAAGAAAGATTCAAAAAGTGTCAAATTTCAAAATATATAAAATTAACATACGCTTTCGTGTTTAGAATCGATTTTTATTGTTTAGAACATTCTCAATCGAAAAATATATTTATGGAAATAGCAGAATTTGAAAATCTTGAAATTTGAAGAGAGACAATTTTGACAGTTTTTTTTAAACTTTTATATTTTTTAAAGCGTACAACTGCAAGCGAAACGAAAATTACTTCCTTCAATTCGACACGATATTAAATAATACTGCGTATTCGGATTTGCTTTATTTTAAAGTTGGGTCACATTTTTAAATTTCGATTTTTACATTGACGAGGCTTGCGATCAAAATTTACATTAAAATATTAAAGACACGAAATTTCCAAGTGCGAATAAAAATTTTTAAGCGAAGATAGATCAATGTCGATTTCGAAGCGAAAAATTAAAAAAGTGACCAATTTTAAGAAATTTTAAATTTTCATGCTTAGTCGTATTTAGAATCGATTCTTATTGTTTAGAACATTCTCAATCAAAAAATCTATTTATGGGAAAAGCAGAATTCGAAAATTTTAAAATTTGAAGAGAATCAACTTTTACAGTTTTCTTTAAATTATTACTGTATTTTTTAAAGCGTGGAACTACAAGCGAAACAAAAATTACTTTACACAACTAGTAACGATATTAAATAATACTGCTTAGAATCAACTTAACATGACTTTTTTATATAAGGGAATATATATATATATATATATATATATATATATATTATACATATATATGCACACTTTTTTTCGAAAAGTCTTTTATACATGCGAGTGCATCGCGATACATTCGAGAATCAACTTAACATGACTTTTTTATATAAGGGATAACAGTACCGGTAATCTATTTCGGAGCACATAAGATAGTAAGTATACACTGAGGACGTGCTGTCATCCGAGAAAGATTGATTGATATTGCTATAAATATGATATTATACATAGACACATAAACCCTTATTTCTATCAGTGTCTTAGCTATTACAACAAAATGTTTTATGTTTCTTATGATTTGATAAGAGAAAACTAACAGATTAAATTATTTCTATTCACTTAATATATCATCGCAAAATAAACAAAATGTTCTAATAAAACTTTTATTAAACAAAATTTATATTTTAATGAGGCAAACTTGCTGATAAATTTATATTTATGCAAGATTTTAAATAAAGTTCCTGGTTTTTTAAAAAAATTAAGTCTTATTTTTTAAATATGAAAGATATTTTGAATATGATAGATATAAGTATTAAAATCACAATATGTATTTATTATTTCGTATATCTATTTTAATAAATCAATTTTATTGTGCTACAGTTTATTGAAATTTGTTTCATTTACAAATTATTTATGTAAGTTGCAAAAGTCGATCAGACGGATGAATTTCTCAGTTTGACGTCATATTCATGAAGATATACTGACGTAGATATTGCAGATTGTTAAAGAATGTGTTTGTATAGATTTAGGAAGTATATAAATAGGAAATAGATATCTGTGTATGCGTGTTTTGTGGACACCCATGTATATCTGAGAAAGAGATAAATGATTTGCTTATTATACTTGTATAAAATTTCAAGGTCGATTATTTTCTGTGTTTGCGATTTCATATAAATATTCATAACGTTAAAAGCATATATTTGTCATTTGATTGAAAAATACTGCTAAAAGAATTTTTTCTTTTTTGATGTCGCAAAAACTTTAAATTATAAAGACAAGTAAAATTAGACGCTTATTATTTTAAACTCCAAATCAAAGATCAGGTTAAATAAAATTAATATTATTTTCTAATTTAAGAAATTATGCTAAAAAATTTAATATATAAGCATATGATTTTATATGCTTCATTAAATTATATGTATACAAATTGATGCGTCTAACTTGAAAGTTCAGTAATAGATAGATAGATAGATAAATAAAGAACGCTCAACATGAGAACTCCTTAGATGATTATTTAATAACTTTACTCATATGCGTTGAAATTAATATTAATGTGTCAAGTACGCAATGTGGATATCCCCGACCTCTTTCGACATATCTTGCTGGTTTTTTTCCTATATAAGGAAACAAAATGGAAACCGATAAGAGCACAAAAAAATATATAAGTTGGAAAACAGTTCATTAAAGATCGTCACTCGAGTTGGATCGATTGATTGTGTATCGGTGTATCATATAAAATACTATTGCTTTTTCTTCTTTTTTTTATTCTAAAATTTTAAAACTTATCTAATTTTAAAATCTATCGGCAGTATATCATGAAACACATTATTGCACGTGAGTATAGCACAATATATAATTTTTTTAAACATATACAGAGAGAATAATATATAATTTTCACAGAGAGAATAATATATAATTTTAAACATACAGAGAGAAATATATATAATTTTTTTCTAAAATTTCGGAATAATATTTTAATTTTAAACTTGTATATATTTTCAACATATTTTTTTGCAAATTTTTATAAAAAACGTAGTAGTCAGTAAATTTACAATATTATTAAAATATCTACATTGCATCTACATTGTGTGGCTTAATTTGGTTTAATAGTTGTACAAATATTGACCATGATTTGGTTGGTCGCCTTGGCATTCCCGCAAAGAGACCCGTCGAGCAAGATTTCAGACACTATTTATTTTAATAATAATGATGAGTTGAGCAGCACCACACAAAGAATAACAACTACAACTAATTGTCCGTGTGTTGCAACTGCAGAATATAATCCAATATGCGGTACTGATAATGTTACCTATTGGAATATGGGAAGATATAATTGTGCGAAAAATTGTAATCCACGTAAGTAATATTAATTTTATATCATATATTGTTATTGGTTTATTATTGTTTTTTTATTATCAAATAAGATTGTTAAGACATAAATTTAAAATATTATTGCTTTAATTTTTATGCATGCATAATTTTTAATTTATATTTGATATCAATTCTCACCTTTTATATACGTATCTTAATTCTTAATTAATTCTGTTTCATTCTTCAAATTTTTCAACAGTCAGTTCTCTATAAATTTTATCCTCCTTTATTCCTCATCTTTTAATTTTTAAAAATTGTTTTCAACTGTTAATTTTCAATAGTTTTACTTTTATTTTTAACTTTTTTTATATCTTACTTTCCAATTATTTTAATTTGCTCATGATAATTGCATTTTTATATCAGGCGTAATTATTGAGCAAAAAATTACTTAAATTATTAAAGAAAAAATAATTTTTCAAATTTAAGTAAATTTTGGAAAATATTTTCTGTATTATAAATATTTTCTGTGTGTTTAATTTTATTTAATTAATTATTTATATTTATAATTGCCGTTTGTTTATAATCTTATTTAAAAATTTAAAACATTTTTAAGGACTTGAAATAAGGGTGATGAGAGCTTGCGAACCATACATCCAAATAAGCAGTAATTGAATATCACATGGGTTTATTATCGCTTTCATACGACTGAGAAAATGACACAACAGTTTATATAAATACAGATAAATAAGTGAATATATTTGAATATATTATTATTTTTTTATTTACAATGGTAATTCTCATATTGTTTGTATATTACAGATTTATATTATAGCGGAAGTTCTTTCGTAATATGCAAGCGCAATTGTAATCGCAAGTTATTAATACGTTAACTATGACCTTTCAATAAATCTCTGTATGTTTTAATAATCAATATATTGCTATTAATTACAATGTAATTTGTGGAAAACCCATACACTTTGTATAACTTTGCACATGCATAAAGTGTATGAGTTTTCCATGAATTGTAAAGTGCTGTTATACATTATATATAAAGACTGATATCAAATATGCAGAATTTGTTAATTTATTAATATTCTTCCTAAATTAAAATTACATATAATATAACATTTTATTATTTATCATATTATAATATCAATCCAACAACTATATTCATTATTTACATTAACATTCTATTATCAGTTGATTTTAATTTAAGAATGAAAATGAATTATATAATTGTTGAATGATACTACAAAGAGATGATGATTCTGCTAACAGGTACTATTAGCGTTCTTGTGTGTAAAAATAAGTCTGACAAATGTTCACTCGCTGAAACGCGATGACTTGAAGAGATTATAATGAAAATGAAAGTTTGTTTTTTAAGAAATTAAGTTTGCCTGTTTTTAAAAAAAGAGCTAGCAGATATTACAATATTAAATAATTTACAAATTTAACTTGATTTGTTAGTTAACGGAATAAAAAATCATATCAGTTTATTGGCATTTTAAAATACTTTTTTATTAAACAAAAATCTTCTCAAACTTTTTTATCAGCACTAGTATGCTAATTGTTAATAAAAAAATTAATTGTCGATCAAAAAGAGCTGTAAAGTTAGACTGTAAAGTGAATAAGGAAGTAAGTCGTGTTATTGCGCGAAAAAGATGCATACATAACTGTAGTTTGACTTAGCACCGGCTGGCAACCAATGGTATAAAAGGGAACGCAGGTTGATACTTGAAACAGTAGATCGTCGACCTTCGGTAGATCATCTTGCATATATACTTCATTTAATAGCTGTGTATATGATCGGCACGGACTCTCAAGAACGAAACGTCATCAAAATGTTATTTCACTTGTTGCTCGGTGAGAAAATAATTTGCTTTGTGTACTACTTTTTTTGTCAATTTAGTTCTATAATATCGTCAATTATATTTAATAATTTATAGTTGTTACATCACCTTTTCTCATCGCTGCGTTCCCACAAGTAAGTAAATGTTCTTTCGACACAAGCAGAATAAAAAGGACTATATCTAAACAATGAAAGATATTTAAACAATTACAATTACGATTGTGTTTTGCATCAAGTGTTCCAAAGTATTTCTTCGCGCCTGTAATTAAAAATAATAATTACACGTTATATCAACAGATATCACAATGTAAAATCTATGTGGGTGAATTTACAAAAATTTATAAGGAAAATATCGCTAATAGAATTTTTTCTGTCTTTTTTTTTTTTTTTTTTTTTTTTTAAGATTATATCTATGTTTTTGAAAGAAAAAAAAACATTGGAAGTTTAATATTTGAGAATTTAACTCAAGGAGAGAGATATTTAAGATAAATCCAAAATTTGGATTACGGATAATAATGAGATGTCTTAGGATGATTTCGTCTTTGATGGACCTGTCGCTACCATATCACCTAATAGTCAACAAAGGACAACATCCACAACGACTGTGAGATCTAGAAATGAGAATGATGCGACTACTCAATCTGTGAATCAGTACAATGCGTGCGTTAATTCATGCCCGGTAATTATTATCTTTTAATTAGAAATAACGAAACGTATTTTATATCAACGAGGTTTTATGTAAATGTGTTATTTAGTCCGAGAGAATTCTTTAAATAATTATTTATTAGATCGATTAACAAATTAAAAATTAATTAACAAATTTAAAAAAGACAAGGCAAATTTATTTTAATTAATAAAAGTTATACATATATGTACTTTTTCTCGATTTTTTTATTTATCAACATATATTAATCTTAAAATATAAGAAAAGATTGTATAAAACTTAAAAGTTGCATTATTTTAAAGAATAATTTTATTTAAGTCTTGTAATTATACCTATATATTTTGATTGCAGGTGACAAATGAATACAATCCTGTTTGCGGTACGGACAATGTTGATTATACTAATCCAGGAGGCCTTGGTTGTGCGCAAAGATGTGGAAAAGGTATGACACATATCTAATATAAAAGCAAAAATTCCTTATTCAATAATTTAGCTTGTCTTGCTATTAAAAAAAAAAATAAGATTACGAATAAAATTAGTTATTATTTACATTCTTTCTATTAGAGAATAAAATCAAAGAAAAAATTGTTTGGTTTAATATTAAAAGTTAAAATGGTTAAATATTTTTAAATTAAATATGTAAATTAGCTTTGCCACCTTTTGATTAACATTAATTATCGTTATTATTTTCTACATTTTTAGTATTTTATCTAAATATCCTTAATTATTCTAGTATACCTAAATAAAGTACAACAACGAATATTTAGCAAATATATTTATTTTTGATTTCTTTATTTGACGATGTTTGTCCTATCGAGAAAAACTTAAAAACAAGAAGAAATATAATTACTATACATAAGGCAGTGCGATTATTAAATGGATACATTAAAATATCATAATATTTGATATTTACAGAAGTGACATTAGGATATTATGGACGCTGTTCAACGAACACACGTGGATGATTTACAAATTATCATTAAACGATACAATAATATCATTAGATAGATACAATAATATGATTATAAGAATAAAAAAATTATCTAGAAAATGTAAGAAAAATACATATATTTACACACAGCATGTACGCATATATTACAAATATATTCATTTACTTTAAGCAAAAGTAATTTGCTTTAAACAAAATAACTGGTGAACACACATCTTATTTTCACTTTGATTTTAAATGACTAAAATTAAGGATACTAAGATTAAATGTATTATAAGCGAATTTTAATCTTTTTAATAATTTTTATTATATCAAGATATCACTGGTATCTTTACTAAATGTCTTAGCGCTTCCGTATTTAAAATCACATTTTCGACTGGACACATTGTTTTTTTTAAACTTACGAATTAAAATTGAAAATTTCGTTTTAATTTTACTTGAAAAATTTTGCATTGACTCAATATCTGAGTTTTTTTTATAACGAAAACTTGGAAGAATAAACTAATCATCCGATCGAGGAATCATTTCGGTCGGCCCATCTCACTCTTCGTGCGATTTCAAAATTTCCTCCATGAATCCCATAAAGATGCCTCGCCAGTATATCAGCTCTGTCTTCTTCAGCCTCAACAGCCATCCTTCTATAACGACGAACTGCTAAAAGACAGCCGACGGTGAGTACAATTTGAATTATTAACCAAAAGATTAGAAGACCCAGAGCCAGACTCGCGTCCACGCAGAAAAGGCCATCTATAGATCCTAAAAAATCAATTTAAGTTCTTGTTTAAGCTCTGCGATAATTGCATAACGAATCAGATTCATATGCGAATGGATCTATAGATGTTCCCGATGCTTGGAAGAAGTAAACAATACCAATATTCTTAAACTCACTTCCGCCAGTGATCAAAACCGTATCAGGAACCGGATTTTCCCTGGACAGTAAATGATCCGCTGTTATAACCGGACTTTGAACGACGATAGATAGTTGTAAAGGTAATTCCGTGGGCGTGAGGTTTCTGAAAATTTCTGTTACCTCGGCGATGAGCGGCTGCTCGATCGATCGTCGTTTCCTGCCGTACGAAATCTGTCCTCCTCTGCATGTAGTCTTTAAAGAAATCACGACAACTTATGTTTTCATTTGTTAAAGAATTATTTTAATATTTGTTATAATTAATAATTAATATGTTATTTACGAGATACATACATATATAAATATTTATTCCCTACAATTATAATTAAAGACGTAAAAAATGTGTTGCAATATGTTATAAAAAAAAAATAATAAAATTGTCACTTACCGGCTCACATTCTTCGAGACAAAATCGAACGATGACGTTGAATCGCACAATTTGACTATCCGGAAATTTAAAGGCAGTAAATGTTGAGATCAGAGAACGATTGTCCATTGGATCCTTCAAGAGCGCAGGAAAGGTTGCTGGATCCGTTGGACATCCGGATTCATCAAGAAGAAGATACGAGGAATCTCCGGATGCGCTACTAGCTACGAGGTGTCCAGCTAAGATATCATAAGGCCCTGTAAAAAAACTATTAACGCTTCAATACTCTAGTTAAAGAAAATTTTACTTTGACTCGATTAAAGAGAATTCATAGATGAAAAAAAGAGCGTAAAATTTGACGTATCCTGTATGAATAGCAAGAGACAAGTAAGTGACTCACCGTCAGCAGGTTGAATTTCAATTCTGAGCGTTAGCTTCTGTCCTAATTGAGTAACGACCGCATCCATATTTTCCTCGTTTAGGATTCTCATCGTCACCACCGGTGCTTCGGACGATGCGTTTATTACGATTGATCCAACTGGCGGTACGCCTGCGCTAAAAAGAGTAATCAGAGCCAGAATATCGGGAATACTTGTCACAATATCGAGATAAGATTTTTTGTATCAGACTCGTAATTAAATTATAAAATGGTATTATATTCGTTTGAAAAATCATAAATTAAATTGTACAAAAAAAGGAGATAGAACTTACTTTGGATCCAAGAAAGAAAAACTCGATTGGACAGATACGTTTCTCGGTTCCGGGACATCGCGACCGTCTAATGAACATCCGACTCTCACCGATTGATCTCCCAATCGTTGGATGATCGGATTGTATTGTATCACAATGGTGGCCCAAACCAACGTATGCGTTCTGCAAATAAAAAGCATATCGTGAGATTTAAATGCATGATAATTCAAAATTTTTACTCTCAATTATAGAAATAAATTTAAGAACACAATTAAAAAATCAATTTAAAAAGTACCGATTTTCGTTATCAATGGAAAACGCGGGTGTAAGACCACATTCAATGTTAGATTTGCCGATGGACTCTTTTTTCGGCAAAGACAATCTTAAGACAGTCACATTTTTTCCAATGCCATCAACACCGCAAGTATCTCCATGTCCGCTCACATATATCCGTCCTTCAAAGGGCTCCGTAGTGGTTAATGTAATTGTCATAACTGAGTCGCCGCATTGTACTTTCACTGTAAAATATGACAGTGTTAAAAATTTATTAAGAAATATCGTTTATAAAATTATCTTCTATTTATGGCAAACATACAATCTAAGCAAGCTTCTTGTTCCTTATAGATGACGTTGGGTCTGGCAACCAACGAACTGACTCCAAGACTGATTGTATCATCAGAATGCAGCAAGCAGAATGGTTTCTCCTCCGAATAATCAACGGTGTAGGCTCTGCATATGAAACCATTCTCGCTGCGATCACATTTCTCTTCGCACTAAAAGGATCATAATTGAATCACACAATCGACTCGCTTACACAGGAAACTCGACGGGAGAAATGCGAGAAATACCTGCTTCACGTCGAGCCCTGGTAACGTCACATCCGAGTATGGCAATGTTACGTTCCGAAACTCCGCATAGGAACAATAGCTTTTCTTCGCTGCAAGAAAACATGTACGAATTGAATGCAATTCTACTATTGCAATATCCAAAAAGAAGGAGATTAACGACTTACATATATTATGGCACTGATCTTGCAGATACTCATCTCGATACATCGACGATCTGTAAGCTTGCGGTCTAGTACCTCTCTCGAATTTCGACAAGGAACACGTGCCAACGGTATCGTCGATCGACAAAGGTTCGCTCGTTCGAAATTGCGCAGATTCGCATTCATTGTCTATAATTATAAAAAAATGTTACATAATTTATACGTAAAAAATTATTATTCCTCGGAAATTTTTTATCCATTTGTTTATAATATAAATTAATATCTCGGCACGATTCGTGTAATTATTCTATAGAATGCGTACCTGCTTGTAGACACTTCTCGTAACACTCGCTTCTTCGTAACAATGCTTGATAATATAAGTTGGAATGTCCATCTTTTAAAATAGCTCCCAAAGTTCTTTCTACTTGCCACAATCTTCGCTGCTTGCAATTTGGTGAAACTGAAGCAAAGAATTTTAAAAAGTGCACTTCTGAGTGAGAAAAGTATTGATTCTAAAAGTTTCTACTAGAAGGGAAAAAAATCATGTCACAATTTTCTTTGACATATTTGAAATTTTTTTCTCCTGTCACATAATCTGGAATAATCTCACTAATAAATCTCTATGTCGCTTTCGTGCGGAGCTTTACGAGATCAAATGTAACTTGCTTTTACATTCCATGTAGAAAGAGAATATTTAGCTAGAACGTTTTAAATAAATAATACTCTACGATATACATTATACAATATGCTATAATGGAAAAAAAGACAGAGATCTTTACCTTTAATGCAGATTTTGTGAAAAAACGTGGCGTTCGTTTCAGGAATAAGTTCCTCGCCTCTTATTTGCACGCTGTAACAAATGTTCCTTGCAAAATCGATCACAAACGCTGTACAATTCAAGCTTTTACACCTGTAATAGATAAATCATTTTTAATTTGCAAGTTTACATATTTATTGTATATGCACGCGAATTTTATTACCTTTGTAAAAATTAGAAATTAATTTTTTTATAAAATATTTTGCAATATTTCAGTTTATAATAATATAATATATAAATCTATTTATCTAAAGATTTAATGATTTAATAATGAAGATTTAATTACATTTGTTTATTACCGTATATTAATTTTTTTATATGTCTAAGCAATCTATTAGTTAAAGTAAAGCGTCTGTTAGAAATTAATTGATAAGTTACCTGTCAAAACAAGGTACGATAATACCGTTGTTACCTATGGCACTATTTTTGTATAATATAGTTTCTACAGCGTTTGCAGGCTTTGCTCCGATGATTTTCTCCCATCCTGTATCTTGATCCTGACAATTCTGAGACCAACCTGAAGGACACAAGTCTTGTAAAGCGTGCACTGCAGTTAAATAGCACCTATGACCTGTGTGTACTTTTCGCACACATATGATACTATATGCATAACAAATTATATTTGCAACTTAAGGAAAAGAAAACATCCATGTAAGTAGACTTTATAAATGCAAATTATAAAATTTAGATATCTAATTCAAAATAATTGTGCAAAGAGTAAAAAATGACAGATTACAAACGAGTCAAAAAATGATTTTTACAAATTCCCTTCAAGCCAAGTAGAATTGTCGTTAAAATAATTATCGATAAAGAGAAAATAAAGTTTTTTTATAGTTTTCCTCCAGTATTAGTTTATTACATTTTAATAAAAAAATATTATATTTTATCAAAGATAAAATAGACTTTTTATAATAAATCTAACTTATTCTTACCTGTGCTTAAAGCAAGACTGCAGACGAAAACCATGAAAAGTAAGGTCGTCATTCTGTATCTTTGCACTGCAAATACGACAAGATGAAATCAGTTGCAAGAGTTCGCTCTTCAAGGATTCCTGGATTGTTCTACAAACTTCGAAACAACATCTTCTAGTTCTCAGTCGTGCCGCTGATTTACCTGTATATACAAATATCGTTACGTAAGTCACTATCACTTGTAAAAATTGAAATCAGCACGCATTAACTATAAGTTTCTCGTCGAGTGAAGAAGCGGTCGAATGCGATTATCCGCGTTAAGCGCTTCTTTAAGAACTCCTTCCTATCTTCAAGGTTGTAAGATAATGCAACGTTTCTCATATATAAGCGCGTTGTCCGCTGCATAATATTACGTGTGCCATTTTTACCTCGTGCGCTTTTGGTTCCACTATCTCTTAACACTACGTAAGCACGCGACATAATTTGCGATAGCGATTTACAATGGGATTTATTCTCGTTTGTTAAACACGAAAGTGAGTGCAGAAAAAAATGCTGTCGTGAGCTTACATTCCGCGGTTAAAAATTTCGAGATAATATATAATTGCAATACGTAAAAAGCGTATCTTTTCGCTCACAGAAGATGAAAGGAACTGATCGTACTATAGAGGTGTAATGCGTATAATTAAGTGTTCTTGCAGAAAAGGACACATTATTATAATGTGCAATACTGATGATTAGTCACACTTATTAAAATGATGATGAGTGATAACAGAATAACAGCTTAGCTATTTCTACATTTCTACGTAACCGTGTGATTAACAGGATATAATTATAAATTATAACTTTATATTTTATAAAGACTTAAGTTAAAATTATATAAAGTTCTAGAATATTATAAATCACAAGATAAAAAAATCTTTTTATAATTTACCAAGTTTACATTAATTATATCAAATCATATATCCGTAAATTATAAAAAAAATATTCAAGGAAAACCTACATATAAATAAAATATGTCAAAGTATATAAAAATAAAAATTCATACTATATATTAGTATCCACTTTAAATAAAAGAATCGGACACAATTTTTCGAAAACTCGCTTCAAATAATTACATATAAAAATTGCAAATATATATAATTTTTTGTTGGCTCTCCGTGCAGCATCCACTCACACGTTCTTATATGCAAATCGCTGATCCGTCATTGAACTCTCTAGTAGCAATTGTCACACTTATCTGAAGTGTGCATAGTCGACAGGTTAAAGATCGGTGGGTCTCCTCTGCAGCTTCGGACGTTCCTCGACGTAATCGAGCCGTGCTCGCGATTCACTCTCGGAGTACATTCGTCGTCCTTTCGTTTATACGGAGAGCGAGAAGCGTTCCACTAACCAACTGCGAGGCGGACACGTAATGAAATGAAAAGCTATCGTGCGCGATCCACAACACGACGGATACGACGAGGAAGAGCAGAGGGGCATTCCGGCCGCGCCATCGAACGATCGGATGCGGCTGGGTAAATACAGCTCCGCGCACACATCCATCCATTCACCGGTATTGTCGTGAAAAAAAGAAAGAAAAAAATGATGGCGAGGTCGGCAAACGATTATCTGGGATGTGCTTTGCGCCGCCCAGGTTTAGCGTTCGCTCATCATCGCTGACACAAATTCGGCCTTCGTCGTATCGTTATCGTGGACAGTTACGAAGTACTCGATACTTAAATGAAGTGAAGGCCTGCTGTTTAGGAGGACGCGTATGCTTTGGTTATTAACATACCGGTATATTAAATTGTCTGTCTGATTAAATGCACAATCATCCGGAAGCAAATATACTGGTTTTGCCTGTCGACTCTGGATTTAATTTGAACAAAATCAAAATTTAATATACGCATAAAGAGAAATCCTGGTTATTTTAAAATAAATATAAAAGGGAAGTTAGCTTTTACAATAGAGTATAAATGGATCCAGACACCGCGTCGATTAATACGACTGTCGAAAGAGGTTTCCCACAGTGCAACGACTATACAATTGAACAAGCATCGGAAGCCTATATCGATAGTGAACATCGAAACTAGTGTCCTTCGTTTTACGTAACTCTCTGGCATCGTTTACGCTTGTTAATCCCACAGTAGTATATATGTACATATCGACATAGCAAGACGGAATGTCTAATGTGCACTTCGCAAAATAAGATATCTTTCGAATATATAATAACGATATGATATAAAATTATAGATGTGTTATCAGTAATTCGGTTATATTGTGTATGTGTGCTTTAAAAAATCTTTTTCAACAGAAAAAAATCGTGCAATCTGCTCAATATAACAATATATTACGTAAAGAAAAAAATCAAGCAAAAAATTTGAATATTTTAAAATTAAGTATCTAAAAATTAAACATTTAATTTTGCAAAATAAATCACTGTCAACCTTCGTCTACTTTTTTGCTGAGAATTCAAGCAAGTAAATTTTCATAAAGTGGAATGCAATTTTAGATGAAATGAAGAATGTTACTGTCTCATGTTCTTATTTTTATAAATAGATTTTTACTGCTCTCACTTCAAACTGATAGCGTTTGCTTCACTTTCATTTTTAATTATCACTCGTTATGTTAATACTTTATTACTAAACATAAGTGAAATCATTGATTTGAGTTTAGAGTTTTATGTCCATTGAGCTGCGGGTATGACGGTCTTACATAAAAAAACGTATTTGTCGCAATGTAACATTGTGTCGCAAAGTAAATGTAACAAAAATTTCCATTTATGAGAATTCATATTTTTTAGTCAGAAAGATATTCTAAATTATATATTCACTAAATTGCTATTGTAATATTATATTACAATAACAATTTCTACTTTATTGTATCTTAAAATTCTTTTAACATTCTTTAATTCTATATTTAATTATTTTTTAACTTCTTTGTTCAATTATTCGCCTTTATTAAATTCTTGTTTTTATCATCCTAATGTATTTTTTAATGTCTGGCAGCGATTTAAATTGCATGTCACACGATTGCTCTTGATATGTTACAGTCTATAATACGATTGTGAAGTTTGAATGGCCTGTATTACAATGACCGTAAACGATCCGATCAATTTTGCGTAAATCGATTCTATCGGAATCGTTTCCGATGAATAATGACGGTGTCATTGGCCCGTATAAATGAGAGTATACATTAACTCGTATTTCCTTAATACGAGTTAATGTATGTAAACGCATTAAATGGAATTTCAAGGGACGACAAATTGCATTTAAATAAAATTCTACGTGTCATTATTTAAATAAAAATTCTGCAATTAATATATTATACTTTTTAATTTGCTATTATAAATATCTTCTTAATTGGCACAAAATTACATTTCAGATACATTAAACTAATCATAAAATGTAATCACTCTTTTTAGAAATTCTAATATTTAATTTATAAAACTTAAATAGAGTTTACATTGTCGACAAAAGGTTTACATAAGCATCACGTAGGCGATACGTAAGCAATTTATGTAAACGTAATTTTGAAATCTACGGCGCCAAGTCTGCATATAAATTAAGCGAAGCCGCGAACCCCGTATACAGATCCGTAACCGACAGACGGCAAAGCGGATCTCGCGCGTCCGATCACGTGACTCGCGTCCGCGCCGCGAGAGGCGCTCCGGCCAATTGGGACGCGAGCGAGCGCGGAGCGAGTGCGAGTCGTCGACTGTCGGGCGAGCAGTCGTGAGCTAGTGGTCGATCCGCTTGTTTTTTTTTATCCTCCATCGGAGCAGTGCGGCCCTATTGCGTTCCGTAACGCGTGAAGTTTTTGCGCGTCACATCTCGGAGTGAATCCCGCGCGCGGAATCCGATCGGCCGGACGATTAAATACGTCGCTAACCTCGAATCGCTCTGCGTAGTTGACGCGCGACGTCAATCGCGTTACAACAAACAACGGGCGTGACGAGAGCGAGCGAGAGAGAGAAAGAGAACGGGAGAGTATACGTCGCGTCGCGTTAAAATGGGAGCTCGCGCGGCCGAAAAGAGGCCAACTTCACGGCGCGTAGTCTCTTACGTGCGAGAAGCGACATTATAAAACAACGAGACGAGAGGAAGAGAGCATCGTGGCGCATCTCGAGGAGGATAAATAAGAAGGAAAAATAAGGAGGAAAAATAAGACGCGCAAAAAAGCGAAAGAGAGAGAGAGAGAGAGAGAGAGGGGGAAAGAGAGCATCGTCCTCCGAAGCGTCGTGTGTTGTGTCCTTGCCACGACACTAACCTTCTAGGCGCGGAACTGTCAAACGAGTGAACGTAGTCTCTCTCTCTCTCTCGAACGCGGAATATGCCATCCTCGCCGCCGCCGTCGTCGTCGTCGCCGTCCCTGTTGTCGTCGTCACCGTCGTCGTCGGTGTTACGCTAAAAATATGCGGCAGTGAGGAAACGCAGACACACGGCGGAGCACCGCCCGCGGCAGAGCTAGGTCCGGCTAGGCCGGAGGCAGAGCGGCAGGTGGGAGAAGAGGCGAGGACGAGGCGGACAGGACTCCGCACGAGACGAGGACGGGACGATAGCCATCCGGTGTCGTCGTGTTTCGCGCGACGAACCATCGACGAAAGGACCACCGAGGAAAATGGCGGACCTCGAGGCGGTGCTGGCCGATGTCAGCTACCTGATGGCCATGGAGAAGAGCAAGTGCACGCCGGCCGCCCGTGCGAGCAAGAAGATTATTCTGCCGGATCCTAGGTATGTCTTTTTCTTCTCTGTTTGTCTCCTTTCTACTCCGCGATTTCCGGTTTAGTAGTGCGTGCGGTTCGATACGATTCGAGAAGGAGGCGACCGCCCGGAGGATCTGTCTCTCTCACTCTTCCTGCCCCTCCCTTCCCTCTCTTTTCCGCCTGTATACTTTCCCTCTTCTTCCTTTATCGTCTCTCTCTCGGGATCTGCTCCGATATGCGTCTCCCTTCGCGACGACGCTTTTAAATCGACTTCTCTTCCTCCTTCTAGCGTTCCTTCCCTCTCCCTTTATAGCGAGTTTGCCGGGGAAAAAATATATGTTTACAAACAGGCCGCGAGAGAGATGCCAATGCGCGATTCTCTCGATAGGGTTCGCGCAAGATCGTCAGGATGTTGGATGGATTCTACGTCGAGAAATAATCGGATGTGTTGTTACACGCGAAGTCGTTTTTTTTTTTTTTCGAGAATCGATCTTGAGAATCAATCTCGGAATTGAATTACGTTGTCCGTCTCGCGCCTGAGATGTTTTGACGTTCGAACATCTCTCTTTGAGCGACAATCTATCTCGGATAGATCTTCATCGGAAAGAGATATAGTTTCAATCTCCGTACACAAATATATACGCAGGATATTTTTAAAAACATGTCAGAGATTTTAAGGGTGTATTCTAGGAGTCAAAATAAGAAAGAAAGTTCCTGTAAACACATGGATCCAAAAATATTTCCCTCCGAGATACAGCCTCGTTAAAGATAGATGAAAAAATCGATAAATATTTTGTAGCTTTCGCAGATTTTTACAGATCGTTGAAAAAACATTTTTCTCAATCTGTGAAACATGTCAGAGATTTTAAGGGTGTATTCTAGGAGTCAAAATAAGAAAGAAAGTTCCTATAAACACATGGATCCAAAAATATTTTCCCTCCGAGATACAGCCCCGTTAAAGATAGATGAAAAAATCGACAAATATTTTGTAGCTTTCGCAGATTTTTACAGATCGTTAAAAAAACATTTTTCTCAATCTGTGAAAAGATTTCCGAAAACTCCAATATTTTATGATTTTTTTCATCCATATCTGGGGGCTACAATTCGTACAAAAAACATTTTTGGATCCATGTGTTTATAGGAACTTTCTTTCTTATTTTGACTCCTAGAATACACT